CTCTTACAAAGCCCAACAATCACAGACTTACACACAGACAATACATCGACTTAAAGCAAGCATCCCATTAATTCACCTGGATGGCTTTACCCTTAACCTCCCTGGCGGTATTCCCGAGTCTGGCTCGGGGTGAATTTTCCATACCAGGAGCGTTAACCCCGAGCCAGACTCGGGGCTGCAGAGAAAAGTGACACTCACCTTGTCCCTGCGAGCCCGCGGCGTCCTCTGCTGTACACGGCCCGAAAATGAAACTAAAAGTCAGATGCCGGCATCTAACTTTTAGTTAAATCTTGTTCCAAGTTAGTAATTCAAAAATGTCAAAGGTAGAGGGTCAGCTTCACACCTGGCAAATAGCATGTTCAGTTTCTTTTAATGGCAGTGCTGGCTCTAGCTTTGGACAAGCTTTTACTAGGCTTCTTAAGGTTTTCAGTAAGCTTCAGCATGGCTTAAAGCTTGCTGAAAACCTGCAAAATACTATTTTGCACCTATAGCCAGATGTGCTATTAAAGCACAAGTCCAGCCAAACCAAGCTTTGGAGTTGCATTATAATGTTAGTATTTGTGACTCTCAAATGAGAGTTGAAGAGTGTGTGTTGGTTTCAAGCATTTGTTAATGCTGAAGGTGCTTTTTTCCCCATACAAGTCAATGTTATTGCAAGCAGAACTCAAGTCAACATACAAGCAGCTAGAAGCAACTTCTTGGGCAACGTAAATTAACTCAGGAAAAAGTCAAAGCAACCTGAAAGCATGCAGGATTTGACTTACTTCTGAGATTGCTTGTCATGTACATGAGTCCTTTAGCAGACATTCAGCCAGCTTCAACCTATCCTCATGAAAACCTGCTAAAATGTTTTTTAAAGCTAAAGCACTGCCATTATAGTGACCCCCCCACCTCCCCAAGATAAAAATGCTCGGGACATCGGGGCAGCTCTGAATGCCAATCTATAAACATGCCTGTTTAAAAAAAAAAAAGCTTTGTGTTTAATAAAACTTAGCTGTTTTCCAATTTCTGGTCTTCTTAGGCTCTGGTGATGTAGCCAGGGCCTTAAAGGTGTCCATGGGAAGGCTTTGTCACCAGTTCCACTGCAAAGGCAAAAAATAGAGCAAGCCCTATTTTTTGCCTTTGCAGTGGAATAGAATGCTGGCAAAGTCTTGCCACGCGTTCAATCGCACTGCGGTTGAATGCACCGCCACGCCCCCTCCCGCCCCAAAACGCGGGGAGAAGTTTGTTAGCGATCGCGGTGCGTTCCAGCAGCTACCGCTTTCGGTGTGAACAAGGCCTAAAGGGCTTCATGAAAGCTGCTTCAAGTTTCCTGATAGATTTGTATTGTTTGCTAATGCATGCTGTGCACATTGCTCTTCATACTAACATTTAAAAGCTAAAAAACTAGGACTCAGTCCCACACTTGTGTGGTATGGTAATGTGCAGTAAAACACGCATTTTACCATGCATGCCTTAATTTAGTGTGTTAAGGTGTCCTTTCAGCCCATTCACAACAATTGTCCAGCCCGAAAGCAGTGCACATTAATGCACAGTAACACATCATTCTGAACCTTTAATGAGAAAGAGGCCTAAGGGTAAAGTTGAATGTGGAAGCAAACACCAGCTGAGCCTTGATTTACATGTGAGTAAATCTTCCTTTTTTTACTGTCCTCGGAGAGAGAAACTTTAAAAAAATGTCACATGCGGAAGCGGACTACTCTACGCCAAGCCCATCTGACAGGAGGAGTGTGATGCACATTAAAATATGTCCTGAGCTGATGTCAGATTTCAAAGCATATATTTTATTGAACTGGCAAATTATAGTTCACATGTACATAGCAGAGAAAATGTCAGTTTAGCAGCAACCTTAGTACCTGATTGAATCATAAGTGATTATAAATGAATTATATGATATTATATGAATTATATGAAAAAACAAAGAGTGCAATTTGTTATTACAAAACTTAAAAAAAATAACAAAAGGTGCTTGTATTCTACTTTTTGTAAAATCAAATGAAAAGATCAAATGTTTCTGAGCAGGAATATCTGACAAAAAATAAATATTGGATATCAGCAATCCCCAATTAGATAAATGATAGGATCAGTACATCTAAGAAATGATATTTCAGTTTATTGTTGATTCAGGAGAGTTTCAGTGGACATTTAACCAAAACTTCATTTGAATAATTTTGGAATTGGCGGGGTGGGCTTTCGGCCCCAGCTGGGTTCTTTTTGCTGTGTCCTGTTTGAGAGACTCTCCATCACTCTTTGTGTTTATAATCACTGACAGTGAGACAGAAAGTGAAGGGAAATGCAAAATGTTTCATTTGCCACCAAAACAGAAGGTGAAGGGAAATTTTCTAACAGGGTCATCTGTTTTAGCGACTCCATGTGGTTTCATGTAGACAGAAAATGTTGGTAAATTTCCCCAGTGAGGACACACCATTAAGAACCTGACATAGATTCTAATCCTTCCTAACCCTATCCAAAACTATTTAAAGAAAGTGTTTAACAGGAAAAACCTGAACGTTTCTTCAGGTTATAAAGTCCTAGAGACTTCAGAAGTAAGATCTTTGTGTTTGAGTTCATGCCTCTCTGTGTTCCCACTCTGTTTGGATATTTCATGTACCGTATTTGCCGGCATATAAGGCGACTGGGCGTATAAGATGACCCCCTAATTTTTCTGTTAAAACATAGGTATTGGGCTAAACTCGTCGTATAAGATGAGTATAGCCCAAAATAATGTTTAAATACACCCACTAACCAGCATGGCGGTATTCCCGAGTGTGGCTCGGGGTTAATTTTCAGTACCATAAGCAGTAACCCCGAGCCACACTCGGGATTACAGTCTCTTACCTTGTCCATGATCCCCGCTGTGTCCTCGGTCTTCCGGGTTCCATCCCTTGCGAGCGTCTGCGTCACAGGGGGGGCGGAACCGGCAGGAATTTTAAAAGTAAAAAAAAAAATAGAACAAAAAACAAAAAAAAATAATCAGAACACCAGGGAGGCTAATCTGTCAGCCAGCTGGATGTGCGGTAATACTGTATACGGCAGGCTTTGTATTCAGTAATAGAATACATCGCTCGCCGTGATTGGCTCAGCGCGGTATACTGTATGTAGCCGTAGTACATACAGTATTACTGCACATCCAGCGGTATTGTATACCCGACGTATAAGACGACCCCCCGATTTTCGGGGGATGTTTTTAAGTCTAAAAATTCGTCTTATACGCCGGCAAATATGGTATTTTAAATTGTGGAGAATAAAACAGAAAGAACTGGAACACCCAACATTTGTAGAAAAACAGGAACAGTGCAGGGAGATTTTGTGGTGCGAGTATTCAAGACATACATATAAGAATCCAGGGGGTGGCACAGCAGATTAGACTCCACTTTAAACTAAATATGTCTTTTCAGTGGACTGACCCTTTAACATGTTTCCCCAGCCTTTCAGTGTAATATAGAACTTACTATGTCCACAGCCATGTTTATATTCATAGCAGTCTCTATGCAGCTTTTTTCCCAAGGACAATAGCAGTGGTGAAAATGAAACATAAACATGTAACAGAAATACTTAAAATTCATTTGTAAATTGTTTTGAAAATGTAGTAATGAGAGTTTAATTACACAATGCAAAATATTTTTTTAAATTTGTTGATCTTTTTCTTTTGTATGGAAGTTCCTATGATGACATTGCAACTTAATAAAAATGATTTAGTAATTTAGGGATATATTTATTTACAGTCACAATAACCAATTAATGTTTCATAGCATATATTTTTGACTGAACATTTACTGGCATTGCCTGAACATTCGCTGATCATAATGCGTGCAGAGCGAATGTGACAGCCCATGAATATCTGTTGGATGTTGCATGTACAGTAAATGCATTTTCAGCACCAAAAGCGTTTGATGTAATTGTTGTCACTTGGTCATTACGGAAAAAAATGTGTGTGCTGCTCTCCCCCTGGACACAAGCTTTGTGTATGTCCCACGGTAAAGGGACATGCGTGCTCTGTAGTTCATGCAAATGTCTGCCAACATACCCTTTGCCATAGTGGGGCTTTGAGGGGGTCCTTAAGAATTTGGTACCCCAGGCATATTAGTACCCCCAATGCCTAAGACAGGGTTACGGTAGTTAAGGGGTTTATGGGTCATTGACTGCGACCTATGGGGGGCGGTTAGCTGGCAGCTCCCCTCCCTCTGATCCTGGTGAATTGATTTTAAGGGTTTACCAGTTTGAAAGTTTTAACAAAACATAATCAGTCACTTACAGGTTCTAGTGGCATGTTTCCCCAAAGGATCTCCTATTCTTTCTTAAAACAGCTCCTCCTTCTTCTCTTCTTATCCTTTAGGTAATACTGGCAGGGCAACCCTTTTAAAGGCACTGGGAACTCTGGAGAAGTGTCTCCCTGGAGTTCCCTGTAAAATCATTGACCGGAAAGTCCATATTTGCTACAAGTCCATCTATGGCCAAATAAGTAACAGTTACATTACTGATCATATTCAATACTCATACCACCTTTCCCTACTAAAGAATGATTTTTACTTGGTGAATGGGTCCATGAATGAGTGGTGTGCTTTAGAAATACGGCAAATCTAACCCAACCAATGTATCAGACACATGGGTGTATCTTGTATAAACTGGCGTGTTTGCAAACACTTTGCTTGGGAAATAGAATTATGCAAAGGGTAAAAAAAGGTTCTTTACATAGGCATTTCCAGATTATTCTGTATTTATAGAAAACATGTTTGAACTATTTTTCAACTCAATTTGTTTTTCCTCATTTGCAATAAAACTATTTTAGGATTCTGTAATAATACAATCATATAGATAATATTGTTTGTTCTGTAAAAGCTAACGATTGCTGTCCATGTGCCAGTGGAAACCCCGGCGGTTGTAAAATGTGTTTCAAATGTAAAATAATATTTTACTTCCTCTTGATGGATTGCACTTTCTAAAGGTTGCACTGTATTAATATTACAGTTCTGATGAGTTCATTATCTTCTTCATTGTAGGAAAGTTAACAAGTGTTACAAGGGGCGCTCCTGTCCTGTAATAGTACATTGCAGGTAAGTATTGCTTCCTAAGTGGCCCATTTTTTCCCTTGGTTAATGTGTGCTATTGCTTACCTTAATAATATCAGCAATTCCATTCAGATTAAGGTAGATGCCATCCTTTACTACTTGAGGTTGAACATCTTTTAATATTTGTATTACAAAAAAACAAGACAGAATGAATTTGTCCGGGCCTTATTGATTGAATAGTTCAAAATTAATTTCACAGAATTATCATTGTCTATCCTGCAGTGTAAAATAGCAACTGTAAGCTAATTGGTTAATATAGTGTATCAAAGACAGATCTACATACACCATTATTTTATTAAGTGGAAGATGCTAAACTGCAAGAGCAATGTCATCTTCCTCCTTGTTTTGAGTTCTGCTTTGAATTATCTTATCAAGTTACTTTAATTAAGTTTGTTTTTTATTTGCTGTGGCTGTCCTATAGTTTTTGAATCTTAGTACTTACCTTTTCCAAATATTTTAACCCAAGCTTAAACAAGTCATTAAAATCTAAAATGTTCATATAGTAAATTTGTATAAGCCCCAAGTGCACTTAGGCTAAACACAGTTCCTCTGTTCACAAGAGAAAATAATTAGTTCATATAGAAGATGTTTTGTTGTTGCCTTTAAGCTTTAAATAATAATGTATTATGCTTTTGTTGTAGTTTGTTTGTTTGTTGCCCACATTGTAAGTAGTTTCTTTGGGTTAAGTACCTTTTTTTATGGGGTTTTTTTCTCTTTGTTGCAAAAACTAACTATATTGAACAATAGTTAATCCCTGCTGAACAGCTTGCGTTGATTAAAGCTTTGTGGCATTTTGTGTTTTTCTGCTTTTAGTTCCCACCTCCTGTTTTTTTTTACCTACTTCTGTTTAGCTGTTCCTTTATGACATTAACAATAAAACAAATACAAGAGAAAAACCACCTTTTGGCTTTTGTGATTTATTTTTTGTCCTGGGGAACACTAACACAATTCTCTATTATTCACAGTGACGGCGCAGGGAGAAGTGGGACCTATATCCTGATTGACATGGTTCTCAATAAGATGGCTAAAGGTGAGCTTTAAAATAGCCATTTCTTTATTTGTGATATGTGTATATGAATTCAATGGCAACAGGGGGGCGTGCATATCTTCTGGCCTCAGAGTGCAACCAAGCAGGCTTCTTTGACTGCGTTTTCCATTTTATTTTCAGTCCTTTACCCCAGGGTGAACAACTAAATGGATACCTAGTCATTGAAGGATAACTGGAAGGCAGTCAGGAAAAATATATATGGGAAGTAGCATCCATTTTAACCTAAAAGTGCACATTGGCTTTCAAAATATTTATAAGAATCACATAAGTAGTCAAAGGAAAATTGATATTTTTTTCAGTTTACATATTTTAATGTATTGTATAATTGTATACCTATGATGCAGATTTTACATTTATAGATGCTTGCTTTACCTGATTTTTGCAATGCATTATTTACAGATTTGTTGGATCTCCCTAGTGGTTATCTGTACTTTACTGCAGTCACTAAGGGGTCTATTCACGAAGCTGCCGAAGGATCCGGCTGTAACTTCGGCCGATCCTTCGGCTAGCTTCGGCTCCAGGACCCCTTCGGTTCAGTAGAACCGAAGGGGTGCTGTACGGGCTATTCACAATAGCCCGTACAGCTCCCGATCATGGCCGAGCAGCTCAGCCGAGCTGAAAGCCGAAGCTGGCCGTGCTGAAAGCCATTGGCCGACCGCTCGGCCTGCTTCTGACAGCTGGGCGGAGAAGTGAATAGACCCCTAAGTCTACCAGCTCAACAGTGGCTGAGATAAAGGGGTTGAATTACTAAACAATGTACATTTACTAAAGGAGACTGTTTTCTTAGCAAAGTAAATGTTCACAAAGCTTATTAAATAAGAAATGTGTTCAATGTGTTCGGTTTAGTCACCCAGTCATGTCTAAGATCAAATCCTTTGTATTATTCCCTTGGAATATGATTGGATAGCTTCATCTTATTTACTAGCTCAGTGAACATTCACGTTGCTAAATGAATAGTATCTAGTCCTTTAGTAAATCAACCCCAAACTGTTCATTTAGCTTAGTCACTAAGGTAAATCTATGTTCACTTTAATCATGTGCAAACAAATAGCCTGTATTGTTCTTTTTTACCTTGTATATCATTGGGTTTTTAAATGGCATACTGCTTCCCAATATTAACGAAGCAAACTCAACAGCCTCTATTCCTTTAGTAAATCAACTCCATCATGTCAGCCACATAAACTGATGACTTGAAAAATGTAGGATTTGTCTAATTTGAAATGATATGTTTTGCTCTTAAATGTGCTGAAACTTATCATGTTATATATATTTTTATTCCAAATATAATGCTGAATACAATTTTATACTATATATCATCTCTATTCCAACAGGGTTGATATGTTCTTGTGTCTACAAAAATATCAATATCTAGTTGTATAGCCTTTCGAAGCAATAACAGCTTTGCACTTTTCTGCACTACATCTTAAAGTGACACTAAACTCAGGACTCTTAAAAATTAGGGCTGGTAATGATTAAAAATTTCCTGTTCGATTAATCGAAGCCACTTCCGATCTCCGACGGAAGACCCGGAAGCCAGAGGAGAGGTGAGTACGGATCAAAATTACTTTGATCGATCAAAATAATTTTGACCGATCAAAAAAATTAACGATTAATCGAGGGATTAATTGTTAATTTCCGCAGCCCTGTTAAAAATGTGTTCAAAAGTATTCACTATTAACAAAAATGTATCTTATTTGTGTATTACTCGGCTGTAGATCATCAAATCATCTCTGAATTTGTGCTGACACTGTCCTTCCTTCTGGAGGGTGGCTACTTTTGTTCCCCATGGTCCCTGTGTGAGTTGTAAAGGATCCACCGCTCCAAGTTTGCACCTGTGATGGACTATAATCTCATGTTTAGTTTACTAATTTGTATTGAGATTATAGTCCATCACAGGAGTGAGCTTGGAGAGGTGATCACTTTACAACACACACAGGGACCATGGGGAACAGAAGTAGCCCACCTCCAGAAGGAAAGAAAGTGTCAGTAAAAAATCAGAGGTGATTTGAAGATCTACAGCTGAGTGATACACAAATAAGATACATTATTGTTAATAGTTAGGGTATTTAAATGCATTTTTAAGTTTTAACTCCTGGGTTTAGTGCCACTTTAGGTTCTTCTAGTATAATACATCTCATTTGTTTTCATTTCTCATTTGTTTCTTGTTTTGTTCCTAACACCTTAGTCTTGCCCAGAGGGTTTTGATGTGGTTTAGGTCCAGGCTGTTGTTTGGCCAATAAATATAATGGCATGAAAACCTGCCCTTCATACCCTTGGCAATATGGCAAGCAGTAATATCTTGCAGGGAATGATTCTGTAAAGTGTGAGGGAATAGAGGGAACAGAACATTAAACAAGGAATAGAACATTAAACATCTTGACAATTTCTTCTTGGATAACCAACTGGTGGGATATATGTGCATGATTTCTCAGGCACAGATTTCCCACTCTCCATGCTGGATTTTTTTTTGTTTTTTTTTATATATTATGAAGAATGCAAATGGGGGAACTAGAACACATAAAGGTGGGCGTGAACACTCAAAACTCTCAGTTGGACAGGAACAGAATGAAGAATTGTGGACTGGTCCTTTAATTTCCATCAGACAGAGCTCAGCAGTATAGTAAACCTGGCACTTTTACTGATACGGCTTAAAAAGACAAAAATTGTGTTACAATGTGTTTTGGACAGCATAGTCCTCTATCAATTAAGAACACAAACACATTGTCACAAGATATATTGCTTTTAAGTTTTTCAGGATTATTAAGTTACTATGCTACTGAGGTCCTGAAGTGCTGATCGTGCTTTAGGAGCTACTATATGCAATTAAAAATCTAAAGCATTCTTTAGATTTCATATTTAGAACAGGGAACGTTGTATTCTTTCTTTGAGAGTGTATTTATTTTCTTTCTTTCCATTATGGAAATGTATATATGTGCCTGATATTTCAGTTTAGGGTGGGGGCACCAGTGGGTTGAATCACCTGCTGGCTTTGCAATTACAGACTCCAAGGTTTAACCCAGTGGTTTGTGTCTTTAGCTCTCCCACAAGGCTATAATTAAGGTGTCAGTCTTTTTCAGCTGGATTACCCATTTGTTCTACATTATGGCAAACCCATCAGGGAACCAAGAACTCATTGTTTGGCTTAGTAATTCTAGTGCCCTTAGAGTAAATCTGTCAGTTCTTGAGGGGAGGTCTCTATTTGGAGTCTTTAAGAGATTTAGGAGATAATTCAACTTGCCAGGGACAACCCAAAACTGTCATAAATAGAAATATATTTCCATATGTTTTGTGCCTAATTAAATAAATAACTATATATATATATAATTTTATATATGTATATATATATCTTTAAAAACAATTGAAAAATTATATACACATGCTTTGATATATATACATAGAGTGAGAGGTGAGAGAGAGTCATCACAGACTGTAACATTGAGTACAACATCATCTTTTAAACATTAGTCAAATTAGTTTCATCTTCTTTGTAACACATTGTGGTAAAAATAAATCAAGACTTACAATACATGCTATTTATATCTTTAAAAAAAATAAAAGCAAGGGATTTTTTCTGCCTTCTTGTTTCAGGCACATTGGTTGACTTTGTTGCATGAACACTAAAGAATGTCATTTATTGACTCCATTCTACCATGTAATGTCAAATTCCATTTTAAGTGTGTGCTTAGTCTTACACAATAGAAGACAAGTCATGTGAAACTGGCTGAAGAATGGAGTCACAGGGCTTTCTTAGGTTTGTGCCCGCCATTTTGTGTTTGACCTGCTCCCTTCTGCCAATGGGCTATGCAATTTGAAATCCTCTGACCTGGTGCTTAGGCTGTAGTTTAACTGAAAGATCAAAGGGCAACACGGGCATTTCAACCCTGCTGAGGTGGGCCTTTCCCAGGCTGTCACACTGTGAGGCATCCAAAGGTTTTGTTCTGACAGGAATCTAGGCCCGGTCTGTGAGGCCTAGATCTTCTTTGTCTGGCCTGAGAAGTTTGAGGCCCAGGTTCAGAATCTAGTGTTCATCAAAATGATCAAAGGCCTTGAAGCCTTGGACATGAAATCTTTCTTTCCATTTCCTTTTCTTAAAGAATGAATTGTACAAGTACCAAAGAATTCAATTTCCAAAGCTTTTATATTGAGTGCGAGCTTGAACTTCAGAGTCCTTCAGTTGTACACATAAAAATGTAAGTGCATTTTCAATCTGGGCCCAGCTGCAGGACTTGCATCTATGAGCATTTCTTTAAGAAAAAAAGCCTTTAAGGATTAAGGCCTTCAGTATTTTAAAAGGAGTTTTAAGAAAAAAATGCAATGATTTGTGTTCTTGTTCCGATGCTTAGTATATTGGAAAGTAGACAATAATGTGTTTTAAAATTGAGCAAAAAAGCTTTGCGCAGTGGAAAAGAAGAAAAGCTTTAATATGGCCTTGTCTTTTGTGCATCATTCAGTTTTTGTTGTGCTACTGTATGTTTTAAAGCATTCCTTTTTTTCTATAACTTCCAAATGGCAGGCTGTTAAGCCATGTGAACAGTGCATTTGAAAGTATTCCCTACTTTTAATGGAATAAATAATGACATTCATATTTTCCCTTTTCCCATGTTTGTTATCTTCAATAATATAGTGAACTATGGAATGTGTCTAGAGTTTGAATAACATATCATTGTTTCTTTTGTTATCATTGAGGCAATTTCATGTATTTATTAACCAGCACTAGTGCCCTTCCTTGAACAATTCGCTTGTAATGGTTTGGTTTATTTCAATGTGTCATTAGTTATGTGTCTTACAGATTATTTTAAAATGCTTCAGCAAGGTTTAGTAAGGCTTTGGAAACATGAGGATTGACATTGTAATGTTGTGGAGTCACACAGCTATATTTGATGTGCTATAGTGCTCAGTGGTCTTCACAATCATGCTGCATGCCTGCCAACAGGCAAATAATTATTTTACATGGCCATCTAGACATCAGCATATAGACTTCAGTAATATTATATTGTTAGCATGTATGCATGCTGATGGTTATATGAATATGGTACAGCCACATTATTACATTGTCTCTCTCCATACCTCTGAAGCCCCAGAACTAACATCATTTGTGGCCCAATGCCATTTTCCCGTGTTGCTCTGCATATTGCCATTTTACTGTAAGTTACCAAGTTAAGAATCATTTGTAATAGTGTGCTCACTTATATATGTACATTGGTCATATGGCATGTTGAAAAAGGCTGATATTATTCTGCTTAATTTATGATGATTTGTATGATTTTTTTTTTCCCAAAGGCACTGTGCTGTGTAACCTGTGTGCTTTGTGCATTGTGTGTGCCCTGTGTGTACATCTGCTGTGTATGTGCACATTTTCATGTGTGTGTACTATATGCATGTTGTGTTTGCTGTATGTGTGTGCATTTGTGCTGCATGCATGTGTGTCTTGTATGTGTGTGTGTGCTGTGTGTGTGCTCTGCATGTGTGTGCGCGCGCGCTGCGGCAGTATTTCTGTATTTGTGCTCTGTGTGTATGTATGTGCGTGTCTTTGTTGGTCGTTTGTTTTACACCTGTCTCACTTCACGGTAACATTATCTCAAAATAAATAATTGTAAGGGATTAAATTAGATATATCTGAGTTCTAGCTGCCTGTCAATAAATTGATCTGTCACAGTTAAATTGAGATTATTTAGAAAGTGCTGCTATAATGCCACGGTAAAATCAAAGCATCTAAAAATCTGAATTTTAAATACACTTAAGAGTTTTTTTCTTCAGTAGCTTTAGACAAAGACATTTGTTGATGGAAATATCTATCTATATATATATATCTTGGTCTGAGACTCCAGCTATTGGTCAGTATAACCTGAACATGGGAGGAAGAGAGGCAGACAGTTTTCCAAAATATTGTGGGGCTGATTTTTTAAATCTGAAGAGTTGTTACCAGTAGCAAACAATCAGGTTCCACCTTTTGTTTTAATTTAAATTGGATTCTGATTTGATTGGTTGCTAAACCAAATAACTCCAATTTTGTTCTGATTTTCTAGCTTCTATGAATCTCACCCTTGATTCATCTAGTGTTACAAGTGATTACAAAGCCTCCAATATAAATATTAGATATACTAGACATTCTTCTAGTTTGAAGTAAAGTGTATTTACTCAATAATTTAGGTCCAGGGAAGATATCATTCTTTTAATACTAGCTTTGGTGGAACTATATATTATAGCTGTTTATTAGTACTGTATGCCCTGCGTTTATAATAAAATACAGCAAAGCAGTAATTCTATCTTAAGAACATGGTGAAAATTCTCTAATTTTCTGCAAGACCTTTTTTCCTTCAGGTGCAACTAATGAGATTTGAGTGTAGAACAAATATTACAAATTGCTATGCATTATTGAAATTCTTTATTTTGGCAAAATCAAGTGTATTTATGTCTAGCAAATACACCAATTAACACTTGACAAAGTTGCAAAGTGACTTTTCAAATCCTGCAATACACAAGAATGTAAGCATTAACTTGTCACATAGTTATTTCCTATATTTCAAATGTTCTAATGCAGAAGGCTGTAGTGGTTACAATTTCACAAGATTAGATTTCGGACCATTTCGGACCATACAGCAGATATGCATACTGACAACAGTTGTAATTTTAACTAATTGCAAAATGTACTTTTTTTACTGCAGTGTACCTTTAAATTCTGTTGGCATTACCCACTAAACCATATCGGTCAAACATTCACAATTAACCTTTTGCATGTTGTAATTATCACATTATCAGTTTACTTTTAAACTCCACACCTTCACAGCGATTGTATCTTCATTTTAGCACACAGGAATGGTCTTTATGTTAGAGACTGTACCAATGGAGCACACAATAGGCAAACATCTCTTGAGAGACCTCTTTTTTTCTTTTCCTACGTTGATGATAATCAAAGCTATACTCTTCTTATTCTGTATGAACATCACAATTGCATCTGTCTGCCACGTCCACTGAGGCATGAATTAATATTTTTCAATTGGTCTGCTGTCCAAGGGGAACTGGCTAGGAAGAGATTGACAGATGCAGCCTGAATAATCGTGTTCTCTGAACTGAGCCCAATTTATGGTTTGTTGCAGGTGCTAAAGAGATTGATATTGCGGCGACTCTGGAGCACTTGAGAGACCAGCGACCAGGCATGGTGCAGACAAAGGTACTGTCAATTAAACGGCAAGGGAATTAAAATATATTAAAGGCTTATCTCTGATTGTTTTTGTGTTAAAGGAAGACTGTCAGCCAAATATGGGAAATATAGACAATGTTTCATTAACATAACACTATAGCATCTTATTCATTTTGTTTTTACATCTTAACTAAGCATCTGTATATACTGTCTAATTTATTGTGTTCATCTGAACATGAGATAGCTGGGTATGGCAGCATAGGTCTCTCTCCATTGTTTTATTTCTTTGTTCTGATTTGAACAATCAAGGATCCTGCAAACAAAGAGAGTGATGCAATACAATGTTAATGATTTATATTTAAGTATTTATATTTTATGTTAAAGTAGCTGTATTATTGCACAGAAATGTCCTCTTTTTCATAAAAAAAGGACTTTGCAAGTATTTCATTGTGTGTAAAAAAGGATGGGCAGATGTCAAGATGCAAATTCCTTTGGCAACACAATAGTCATCCTGGTCTTCCAGCACCTCCCCTATTATTGGGACTGAAGTTTATCTGGCCCTTTCTGCTTTGTATAAACACACACACACATATAGAAAAAAACAAAATCAACACTAGCCTCATTTCCTTAAAAGGAAATAACTTACCTATTTAACACAAGAGAACGGGTTAACTGCCTTGCTGACTATCCCTGAAAATAGATTTAAATGTTTGTATATGTGATTTTATCTCTTTGTTCTCCATACAATTATCTTAGGGTAGAATAAATCCATCTATAACAATTATTATGGAAAAAAAATAGAAAAGGAAAAAATAACCTTTATTCAGGCACCCGGATCAAGGTCTAATATACAGGATGTGTTCTCAGCTGGAGAGGAAATTATTATCTACTATTTTTAATTCATGGTATCACCGCTCTCATCCTGTTTCATCTATGCCAGGGATGCCGTTCATAATGAAAACCGTGACATTGTTGTCAATTACATTTCTTCAAGGAGACCCTAATTAAATACACTGTTATCTATCAAAAAAACTATTTTAGGTCTGAGTATGAATTCCAATGACTTTCCAATATTCCCCAAAAGACCTGGATCATATTTTTAATTTGTTCAAGATAATATGCACCTAATACTGGGCCACATTTTATTATTATAAACTAGAGATAAATGATTGCCAGAGATTATACTTCAAATATATGGAGAACCCCAAAAAAAGGAGTGGATTCTTCAACACATTGTATAAACATATGCTAAAGTAACTTTCAAAAATCCAATCCCTTACATAGGGGTCTATTCACTAAGCTGCCGTAGGCAGCCTAGTGACTCACCAACCCCAAGCAAAGTGAGCCGAACACTGTTCGGCTATTCACTTCAGGCTGGTACGTCTGATTCCAGCCGTATATCGCTGTACATCGGGTGGCTTCAGGTCAGCTGAACACGCTCAGCATGTTCAGACGACCTGAAGTGCAGAAGGAGTTCGACTCAGCCGATCCAACATCTGGATCGGCTAAGCCGAACCTCCGGCAGGCTACTTGCTGCTGTTGGGTCTATTCTTATAGATGCCAAATAGCAGTGAGTAAATAGCCAAATGCCGCTGAGCGGCATTCGGCTGTTCTGCTCGGTCCCTCTGTAGGTGTAGGAAAAAAATGTAAATATAGGAAAAAATATATAAACCGATTGTGCAGAGCTAGCAGTGACAGCTAGCTCCACCCAACTGTTTTCTATTGGCCGGGTGGTTCTGTTGCCGTCAAAAAAAAAAAAATCCCCATAGGAAAGCATAGCTAGATTCCTATTGGCTATTTCACTTTGCAATAGCCAATAGCAAACTATCTATTGCACCTGCTCTCTGCTGCTGTCAATCACCAGACGGGGACCTGATGGAGAACTGCAGGTCCCCCGCTGCTGATTGACAGCCGCAGTGGGCGGGTGCAATAGCTAGTTTGCTGTTGGTAATTGCAAATTGAAATAGCCAATAGGAATCTAGCTATGCTTTCCTATAGGGATTTTTCTTCTTTTTTTTTTTTCTTCTTCAGAAAAAAAAAAGAAAAAAACAAGCAGGGAAAGGTTTACTCACCTCGATCGAGCAGAGTGAACCTTTCTGTGAGAAAGTGTTTCTCTCCTGGGCGGCTGGGAGCCTATTAGACTCCCAGAGCGTTCGGGGGAGGAATGACAGATGCGTTACTGGTTACCAGGTAACACTGAGAACACGGAGAGGCCGCTCACAGTGTGTAATGACAGCGTCCCTGGTTAGCTGGTAACCAGGGACGCTGATCTCTCTGCAAGATCTTTGTGAATAGACCCCATAGTTTTCCAATGAAAGCTTTCTTCTCCTTAGTTGCCATTATAGTTTTGGAAATCGAACGCGATCGGGTTTTCGTACGATAATCAGCCAGTTGATGGGAAGTGAACGATCAGAATTACTGTACAACTGGGTGAATTTCCTCAATCAGGCGGGCCGGAAAACTTTTTTCGAATCGTACGAAAATCGATGGATTAGTAGTGTTTTTGTACAGAAAGAAATCGCAACGTAAACACTGCAGATGCACAAAGAAATTCCGTCCTGTCGATCGTGGAAATTCCGCTAGTTAGTATTGCTAACGAACGATAATCAAAATCTACATTGGTCTGTGCATGATGGGGTATTCGAGCGGAAATCGAACGGGGGTTGGATGATGGGACAAAAGAAATCGAACAATAATTGTTCGATTATCGAATTTCCGATAACTAAAATTTCGGATGAAATTCGTTAGCGCTAGTATGTATGAATTTTCATTTCGGACGAATTTTCGTTGCAGCAAAGTGACAATAGACAAAGGAAAAAAAATGAAATGTTTTTTCAAACAAATAGCATTCAGGAGGTCCCGGATTATGACAGCTGAGAATATCAAATGGGCGGCTTGAGCCCCATGACATCACGGCTTACTCCGCCCATTCGTTTACATTCTGGCCAGAGATGTCATTTTGCAGCGAGTCTTCGTCAGGTTTGGACGGGTTGTCATGCGGTGGAACTTTTTTTATTTTGGTGAGTCGGTAGTTGTCGTGCATCGTGATTGACGCTGGATTACATCAATGGAGCCATTTTTTTTTAACTAAAGAAATTGTCAAAAATGCACTTAGTTTTTTTTAATTAAAGGATATTTTTTAAAAGTGTGGTGTGTTTATTTACATTTTAGTTTAACCCTTTAGTACGAGTACCCTTTACTCATTCACAAGGGGGGGCAGCATCTGGTTGCCCCATAATTAAAGGAGTACCCCAATGCAAATAAGCCCCCCTGCCCGCAGACCCCCACAACCACTGGGTCAGGGTTGGTGGGATGAGACACCCTCCCAATGATGAGGGCACGTGGCTTGGTAAGGTGCAGAGAGAGGGGGGCTGCTCAATTGCCCCCCCCTTTCCTGCCCTGCTGGGCCTGTGCTTGGATAAAGGGTCTGGTAGGAATTTTAGGGGGCCCCCACCTTATTTTTCCCCATTTTGGGGGGTGGAGTTCCCCCTTAAAATACCTACCAGACCCAAAGGGCCTGTATGGTTTTTGGGGGACCCCCATGCACTTTTTTTATTTTTAACTTGGAGGGTCCCTCCTAACATTCCTACCAGACCTAAAGGGTCTGGTATGAATTGGGAGGGGAACCTCACTCTTTTTTTTTTTTCCTTCTGCAGACTGTTAAAAATAATTATTATTTTTCTGTTGTCTAATGTCACTTTGCTGCAACGACAATGCGTTCATAACGAAAATTCGTACAGACTACCGCTAACAAATGTTGTCCAAATCCAAATTCCAAAATGAATTGACTTTCGGAACCCGAATCGCGAAAAACAAAATAATGAAAAATACGATTGAAAACGAAACAAAACCAATTTTTTACTGGTGCTCATGTCTAGTCCCTATCTCACATACATACATACATACATACATACATACATACATACATACATACATACATACATAGAAGGGCCAATTTAGACTGGAGCCAATTAACCTTCCAGCATGTCTTTAGTATGTGGGAGGAAACCAGAGTACCCGGAGGAAACCCACACAAGCACAGGAAGAACATGCAAACTCCTTGCAGATAGCGATCTGGCCAGGATTCAAACCAGGGCTGCAAGGCAGAAGTCCTAACCACTACGCCACTGTGCTGCCCACTACTTTCCCGAGGATTTCATATACATTCAGAAGACTCAGGTTGGAAAAAAAATTCATATTCAGTAATAACTGATAATAACTGATAATTATTGAATATCAGAGTTACTTAAATCAGGTATGTGAGACATGACAGTAGAGTGTTCCCATGGTACTAAAATCTAAGGAGATAAAAGAGAAGACCCTAATGTAACACTGAGTACAGTAATGCAAGCAACTTGCACAATAGACAAGTAGATCACACCCGAAAACTCTAGAACCTTTAAAGGGGGGAGTCACCCCAAAGTGATAATTCATTTAAAGACAAAGCCAGTCATTAGCTGTTTTCTAATATTTATTTGCTGTGGCAGCTCTGAGATTTCACTACCAAAGTTCCCTAGTGGCTTAACTATTCATTAGTGGGCCCTATAGTAAAATGTTGATGGGATACTCCCAACTTGCACATGAGTAACCTTCCTCTTCAGTACCTGGCATTTTGCTTTACCCTTAATATGAGCTCCATATTACCCTTAATGTAAACCCCCATAAATATTTGTGGCCAGTGATTCATATAGTACCCCTACAAAATAGCCCATAACGTTTGTGGTCAGCCTAAACTAATGACAGTTGTCATGCACATGTCTGGCTAGAAAAGCTGCTTGAATCACTAAAACTTACAAACATTTTGAAATGTGCACTAGATACCAGCTTTTGATATGTGTACACGAGTGTCTATAATATTGAATATGAAGCTTAGTAAAGATCACCCAAACAAATTATTATCAGTAATGATTTATCAAACCTAGTATGAAACCTATCAAGCTTTGCTACATTAATATTGCTACTGTGGTCTGTTTTTCATTTCAACACACAAATAACACAAACCAAAAAATAAAAGCTAATAGCTTCATAAGAAAAGATGCTAGCTCCTTATTTTGTGGGCTAAATGGTAATCACATCGTTCTTCTATTTCCAATCCGTTCCACTGCCCAAATCTCTCATGGAAATGCCTGGTAAATTATAAGTATCTGATTACTTGCCAGGGCTGTGTGCTCTCAGGAGAATTAGACTTGATGGATTTAAACAAACCACACACTTTGCCAGCAGAATACAAATAAGAAATTGTAGGCTTTTCAATTAATTTGAGTCTAAGGATTAAAAATCGGGTTACAAATGCCAGTTAGAGCAAGTCCCCAGGCAAACAGCCACCCAAATTACTTCACCAGTGTCTTTACGTTCACAGCCCATGTAAACTATTCTGTTAAATATCGTTTGGAAGACTGTAAAAAGCTTTCCATTGTTCCTGGGGATCATCAGAAAAGCTGGAAACTGTACCTAATAATGCAGTTCCTGTAAAACATGCTTTATTCATAAGTGTTTACATCAAAGATGGATGCAAACACAGGGCCAGGAAATGCTGCTGAAAACAAGATTTACCTTTAATAAAAGTAAACGATCCTCTTGACATTTTTTCTTAGGTTACAGAGGCAATTACAAAATGATTAGTGAAAGGGCAATTATACTTTAATGCTTCATGTAATGAGACCTTGCAATCAAAGTTCGCCATTAATGGCATGAAAAAACAGGAAATGCAACACTGAGTTGCAGAAAAACCATGACAAGACCTTTTTGCATCTCTACAGACAACATAAAATAACTTTCAATGCAATTTCAGAAAATATACTTTCATATTAAGAAAACACGGTGCTGGTTGTGGCAGTTCCTTCTTTCAGGATGTTATAGTTGAGCAATTAAAAATTAGGAACCAAAAAACTTTGCTCTGATGGTTTGCTTAACTCTTGCGTCAGTCATGATGCTACAATAGTTTCCTCTATCTCCTAATGCACTCAAAGCAGGTCAAGCACAGGCAACAATCTATTGTTGGTGTCTGCTTTGGTAAGCAGTTAATTTACATATCAGCAGCCCTCCCAGCTTCAGAAAGTGAGGCAAAATTACTAACATGTTATATTAGAGACCACGATTTTCCTTTCAAATGGACCTCTCGATAACGCTATGAATAAATTCTTGGCATGTCTTGACAAATAGCAAAAGTAGTACCATTCATCAAGTATATGTAAACTCCTAGCCTATAGAATCATAAAACCAACAATGGCAGCTTCAGTTAATACAGCGTGAATGGGCAGGAGGTGTGGCAGGGGTGTGAGGGCTATACAGACTATGAGAGATACTGCCACACTGTGCGTTAGCATAACAACCTGTATTTTAAACACAGAACATACATAAACTGATCATGCCAGCGTGGATTACCAGGCATTGCAGTGCAATGAAGATACAATGAAGAACAGGCTACTTTTACATACAACAACATCAAACACAGACACATATATGTGATAGGAATTTTTGTGGTAACATACACTTTAAAAGCAGTCCTTGAGCTTCATCCAAGTCACTCTACTATGGCTACTATGATAACATCAGTCTGCTGCAGGCATTTACTCAGTCTCTTCTTCTCCATTGATCGGACGTTACATTGTAACTGTAGCAAGGTACAAAGTGAGAGACTGCAGTAGGGACTGATCTGTGTCTGACATTTTTGAACACACAATAGACAAGTAGATCACACCCAAAAACTCTAAAACCTTTGATGGGGGGAGTCACCCCAAAGTGATAATTCAGTTAAAGACAAAGCCAGTCATTAGCTGTTTTCTAATATTTATTTGCTGTGGCAGCTCTGAGATTTCACTACCAAAGTTCCCCAGTGGCTTAACTATTCATCAGAGGGCCCTATAGTAAAATGTTGATGAGTAACCTTCCTCTTCGGTACCTGACATTTTGCTTTACCCTTAATATGAGCTCCATATTACCCCACTTCCAGCATCTTAGTGCAGGAAGAAGATGCTGACCCTTGATGATGCCATTACTTAAACAGCTCCATCTTTCTGGGGAGAAAAACAGATAAAGTCACTATTAGGGAGAATACTGTGTGAGCTGTGTGAGCGAGAGGTAATAAATACCGTCACAATTACACATCACTAAGCATGCATGCCCGTAACATGAATTTATATTTGATGCTAGGTCCAGGTGTTCTGTAATCATACTTTATGATGAAATGTGTGCATTTTTTATATCTATATCACAAAAAACCTTTAACACAACACCTGCTTCAATAAAGTTTACAATTTAAAATTCACACCAAACCCAATTTAAACAGCCCCAAATGCACCTGCTGTTATGATAGCAGTGTAAGATTTTGATCTGTTCTGATCACATGAGGAACCTCCATGCAAACACAGGAAGAACATAAAAGTGCCATGATGACCTTAACACTGCCATACAAAAGCACTAACCACTCAGATTCCATGATGCCAGTTTAACAGTTCAAGCCTTTGACAAAGGTTACACAAATTAAATGTCTTACTGTTTCTATTTTCCAGGAGCAGTTTGAGTTTGCACTGACAGCCGTGGCGGAAGAAGTGAACGCAATACTAAAGGCCCTTCCACAATAAATGTTCCACATTCCCAAACAAATCCAGAGGATTCTTCTCTCATCCCCTTCTTCCTTTCAATCCCTTTAAGCGTTGTTGAAAATTGTGACCTGGTGTGTATCATGTATAGTACCCACATAGAAACTTGCGATCTGCATTGTCCCCCAGTGGGGAGATCATTAAATCGCAGGAAACCCAGCAAATGGGTACAAAGAAAACACAGTCATCCTGGTGAGCAGATATCATTTGGTTTTCCTTCTTCTTCCTGATCATCATTATTGGAGCAGGACACCAAATCAGTCTTTTCATTTTCTCATTTATTGGACTTTATTTAATAACTTGGTGCAGGAAGTAACAATCTCCAAATTCTACAAACAACCACACAGATATCTACATCTAAGATCACAACGAAATATGATTTCTGAATGGTTGAAGTTTGTTAATACACTTTATAGTTTTCTCTTTGCTTTATTAAAATGGGGGCCTACATATGGTATCCTCTAAGACTGGGCTTAAAGTGCATCTAAGGGCTCCTGTGTGACAGTCTGAGCAAGTCATGAATCCAGTTATTATTGTGCACAAGGACAAGCCTCATAGAGTAAACAAAAAATGTCCTTTACCTTCTCTGAGTGAGCCAAATCATTCATTTGTGTATCATTCAACCCCCACCCCCTCCCCCCCAACCCCACGATACTGCAGCTCACGATGGGAGGTTTTCAGCAACAGAGGCAGTGCTGTCAATCCAGGAAGCAGCGTGCAGGACTAGGTGTTGGCAGGTGCTTGTTGAAGCTACAGGCTACTGGCTGATAGCCGCTCCCACTGCAACACTTTTTTTTTCATTCCACTGTAGTTTAAGCAGGCACAGCCTGCATGAGGATGACAATTCTGATCTGAATTTAGGAGCAGTGCAGCATCGTTGTCCCCCATCACAGGAAGCTGCATTAGGTGGACTTCATTGACAGGAGCAAAAGGCATTTGTAAGACTTTGCAGTAAATAAAAAAAATGTAAGTGTCAATGCACTTATAATACATGCTGCAGCACTTTTTTCTAATGGGAGGCCATAGTTCTACTTAAAACATCATCATAACTAAGAAATGTGATTGTACCATTGTGTTGGATAACCAATTAACTATCAGCTTACATGTGTCTGAATACCACTGGATGTTAACAACTAGTATCTTATTGGTTGATAAGTATTGCTGCATTCCATTGCTGTTTGCACCATGTTAGTAAATATTGTCAACTCACTAAAAGACCAATTACTATTCTCATGACCATTGCCTTATAGCATATACTTAAAAGAAAGATTTAAAAAAAATGTTGATTTTGTGTGTATTTTCTTGCTTTAACAGATTTTATGGGGTTTGTGTAAAACAATAAAGGTCATTCAAGTGTGGCAATTTTATTATAATTTGTAATGTTTTTTTTGTTTTTTAAATATTAAATCACAAGACGGCAGTTTAAGTTTTTGTTTCCTAAAAACATGGTCTGAACTAAGTAAGCATTGGTAAATCAAGCTTCAGTTCACCTAAGATTACAGTATGATTTTTATTTTTTAACATATCTATATTTATTAAATGAATGATGCGATTGATCTTGTAGTACATGTAGCAGCATCTACAGCACAAGATAAACACATATACTTAATATGTAGAACCCTGCATCTTTATTTATTCAAATTTGTAGATCAGTGTAAAGCATTTAACTATTTAGGGGAAACAATTGAAACATTTTTTGTTCATTTGTGTTAAAGAAAAAGTAATGCCCATTGGTACACTGGGTTTCAGGGGCTGGAGCTGCAACCTATGCACCAAGAAGCTCAGTGGTTTCTAGTAGCCTTGGAAGGTATTGCAATCATATGATTACCTGGTATCCAAGGGTAGGGTTCTACAAAATTGGGCAGCAAATAGTATTCAATCGCATTCAACTGGACTTATCCTGTTAATAATATTTTGCAATGATCACTTTGTTTTTGTAAAAGTGGAAAAACCCTTTTAAAAGTTGGTCTTATTTAAAATTGGTGGATCCCTTTTACACAGCAGAGGCAGCCACTTAATGGCACCATTTTCATGAAGACTAGTTAGGCTTACCAAATGGCTCCATCTGTTATATCAGGGTGTTAATCCTACTTGATAATAAATATAAATTGCAAGATTAGGCAAGAATTAGTGCAGTGGCACCGAGTGTACAAAATTGTAGGTTTGGAAAAGCATTTCAAACCTTTTGCTGTCCATACCTACAGCAGAACAGGGGTTGAGTGATTATAAAGCTGGGTGTACAGGGTTATATATTTTGTTGTTCAACCTGCGCTGTGAACTAAGAAAATTTAACAGATTCCTCCATTAATGCTTATGAGTCTGGCTGGAGGAATCCCCTGCTGTTTCCATTGTATTCTTACAGTGTCCACCGGTCACTATCAAAATAACCAATGGAGCTTGCAGCTGATTGGAAACATTTTCAACCTGCTCCTTCAATCAGCTGATCGAGGGATGCCGGGTGGAAGGGCGCCAACACGGGCACCCACTGTGCACACCGTGTATAGCCTACCTAAAATGATTGACAGGTCTTGCAGTTAAGCAATACAATCTGGTCCAGGACCAACCCCAGCCTATTATTGGACAACTAAGGAATAGCGGCACATAGATGAGAACATCTTTCTGCTATTCCTTCCTTGTTAACAGTATTAGAATGACAGCACTGTGCAATAGCGCTATTGTGCAGGGGATTAAAGGAAGAGGCTAATATCAAGATAGATTCAGATCTTTGTAGAATAGATCTTTGTAAAAATACATAAAAAATTTTTAATAACTTCATTATTAGATTAAAGGGTGTTTTATTTATATCTGCCTATAGTTTAGCTTTAAGTCTTCACTATGACATATTGGTCGAGTTACACTTACAGCATACAAACATTTGGGTGCTGAGAGCAAAACTGTATTATACACCTAAGAAGCTTTGTAAGTGATTGAAGCCAGAGGGACTGACAGTACATTGCCAGCGAAGGAATTACGGCAAATGAACGCCAATGCTGAAATCTTCCTTCCATACCCAAGAAGCATTACATTGTGTTATGGTCATGCTACTCGGATTAGGAGACTTCTTGTGGACCAATTAGAGCTGACATTCATTTTAAACTACAGCAGCGTTTTTCATCTTTAAAGCCATCCTGTGGGACTGTGGCGCACATATTTCTGCCAGTCAAAGCACAAGCAGAATATTTACAAAGCGTGTGCTTTGGAATAAAATAAAAGAGAGGATGAAATGCTATGTTCACTAGTACTGAAAGTCACTACAGTTACTTCTATTTTGTCTTGTTTTTTTAAAGTAAAAAAGTTATTTGGAAAATGAAACAGACCCACTGAGGTTTTGTACATAAAATACAAACTGAACTAGGGTATTCCTAAGAGAAACGTCCTCAGTGATCTTCATTAAAACAATGTATCTCCTCTACTTTACAAAATCATTTAGTATTCTATTAAATAGTAATGGCTGAACATCAAAGTATATGTACATTAAAGAGTCCCTGTCACCTAGGTTTAGGAAAAAGCAGGAGTCCCTAGCTGGATGGCTGATGTCCACTCGTCCTCATTAGCTTCCCTGTCTTTCTGTTCAAGGGCTGTATAAAATTCTGCAGAATAGCTCACATTTCCCAAGCCTGTTTACATGGTTATATTTACCACCAAATTTCCCAGCTCACCCAGACTGCATGTACATCCCTTGTACACAAGTGTGCAAGATTTGTACCAGCTTAGCTAGTGTCTCATGATTCACATGTAGATCACAGAACAATAAAAAGTCCCTTAGCACACATGTAGATCTCAGGTATTTTTAATGTTGCTCTTACCAGCCTCCCAGCAGGTCCTCATCTGTCTGAATACCTGTTGTATGATATAATAAACACAAACATATGTACCAGTAGTTGTGTTTAATTTATCCTTTTATGAGGATGCTTTACAAGACAATTACTGTACCATGTGCCATTTTTTTTATACAATCAGTAATTCATAGCAGCCAATCAGCAATCATCTTTATGGCTATTCTTATCCAATGAACGGTTGTAGTGGATTACTGTACTTACCAATCATTATTGCCCTTTGTATTTTAAAATATATTTGTTAGGTTGAGGATATAAATGCATCCATGGCCTTCCAAGCACCATCTGTGACCATTTGTGTCATACAAGCAATCAACATCACACATGCTCTTACAATACAGTCCATGCTCATTGGTATTGAGCTGTTTGGTTCACTAAACACTCTTTACACTGTATACTGTACTATGACCATCCACAATGTATTGACGTTTGGCATTTACATTTATAATGTTTTGGTATGGCTCACTGGGAAATTTTAATGCTGACATAGATATTGGCCCAATAAGCTAAACCAAAATCAATGGCAGCAGTTGAGGTGGCTTACAGCGGATGATAGTAGCAGATCCAAACTGAAATATCTATACGTTACTTTACCTATGCCTTATATATATTTATTTTAAATTGTAGTTTTTTTATAGGTGCTCTTTAAAAGTTAATCTCAGGCAAATGTAAGAATAAAACACCTTTTAATCTATTTATTAATTGAACAAATATTAATTTTATTTTTAAACTTTGCTATATGCAAATGTTTATATTTCTTTTGAATCCCCATGGTCTTGCACAACACATGTGAATATGCACATATTTGAAGACTGATAACGGAAGTGCCTGCATTAGCTACTGACAGCGGGAATGGGAAGACTAAGAAAAATGACATAAATCCTTACCACACTCTCCCTGGTGAAAAAGGTGAAACAGTTTTACATAACACTCATTGGGAGTGGATGGGAGCAGGGTTTAGGCAATATTAAATTCAGGCATGTGTCAGGACACAGAGTGGACACTACCTCTTGTAATAACTGTAGCCTTAGATAAAATCGACTGATTTTTCAGGACAGAATGGGTAAGTTGCCCGGGGGGATACAAACACAGCCAAGGACTGCAAAGACAGAAAACAAGGAAGGATTTTACAAGACAGTTGCATTATAACTGCTGGAAAAACAGTTTTTATCTTAATTGGGGTTCCTCTTTAGTGCACAGGACAGACTTACTACAAGAGTTTCCAGTCATATTGACATGGTCAACCACTAAATCCTTTAAAATGATGTTTGAGTATCAATTCAAATGCGCTTTGCATAGCATGCCAAAGGCACCTTTCCTTTCAGTAACACTAGACCTCCATCAGCTTCACTTTATTTTGCATATGTGTCGCTTTTTAAAATCCGTATCTGGACATAAATCCTTTCCACTTCTGATGGCCGTCTCATTTCACAAATTCATTATTTTCAAGAGGATAGCCAAGTATTCTAATCAGAAATCTTTGTTTAATTTGCATATTCTATAATAAAGTAACCACACATACATTTT